ACCAATCTTAGTTTACAAGAAAAGTAAAATATGAAATGCCAGTTGCAGACATCTATAAGGAAATGACCTATTGATAAATAATTTATAAAATATACATGTAGATATATTAGTGTGGGTTAATTAGGGATTAAACAAATTGCATCTGAAACCAGAAAAAGCTGCATAACCCTGTAAGAGTAGTCTGAGGGAAAAATTCCTGTTGTGGTCACCAAGTCTGACTGTCCCTATAAAGCCTTCATTTTTTAGGATGAAAACTGAGCCAGCTGAGTATCAGGCAAGTCTTTTAGGGAAAATAAATTGTTTATTCTGAAAGGACTTGAGAGAACAAATGACTAAAGAAAAGGGACAGAAATAAAAGAATTTTTAAAAATTAAGGAAATTAACCAGGAAAGAAAAAAATCATCATTCAAAAGAAATGACCAGACTTTCTGTAATACACAGATGTGATATAGAAACTGTTTACCTAAGTTTCATTTTAAGGTTTATGTTAGCAAAAGCATGGCTGGTTCCAGGTTTATCGATCAAGTCGCTCTGGATAGCTCAGTTCTATGGTGATCTCATTTGCAGCCAAGCTTTAAAAGACTCATGTCTTTAAAAGACTCATGTCAGTCAATTTGATCTGAGGTATACTGCAGTTACCAACTTACTGTTTAAATAACATTTCGTTTTATCTAGAATTTTACTTTTACAAATACAATTCTAAACACATTAATTTAATTTTCACTTGAATAAATTAGTAACAATTTTAGGATCAATTAGTTAATAATCCTGGATTTTTTCCCTGTTGTATTAAGTTCACTTGAATGGTATCTGAATTCCTCACTAACAGTCCTGTAACCAAAATCAGGTTTATAAATATACAACAACTACAAGCTCAAAATATGCATGAATTCCAGTGCATAGATCAAGATATAAAGATCACTTTTTTATAGTGGTTAAATTACAGCCATATTATCTAAGCTACCCACCAAAAAATGTCCATAAGCAGACAGAAGACCTGCAGAGGAAAGAGGAGTAAGTCATTCTGGCTTTCACTAGTGAGGGGATACCAACTTCCTCTCTGACTGTTGAAAAACCTTCCCAGTATCTCCTGTGGTTTCATTCACTTCTTCAATAGAAATAGAGACCAAGGAATAAGACTCAGTTGGAAAAAAACAAAAGCAAAACATACACCCCCAACCCCCCTCAAAGCCTCACAAAATCCATTATGATATTAACAGCTAAACTGATTTTTCTTTGTGGCAATAGTAGATATTGCAGCCTGCCCAACTAGGTCATATACAGCAAAGATTATTTGCTCAGACAACATTTAAACTGTTTTCACCCTTCCTGGTGCAGGAGATGAAAACAAATCTTTACTCACAACCCTCTTGTACCAGACACATGAGAAATAACTCCTCATGTTACCTTTGGGCTGTTCTTAACTAAGGTGTAGAACCATCTCCAGAATATGTGCACACACTGCATGTGCATATTTCTGGGCTCTGGTAATTTCTCTCCATGAAATGGCTTTTGGTTGCCCTTCCTCAAAGATTTTCAATGACTTTTTCTTCTTCTCTGCCTTTTACTGGCTTCCCCAGTATCTCCTGAGATTTTTTTTTTGTCTGATTTCTTCTTTGCTTATGAACTACCAACCTCAAGGGATTTTACTAGCAGTGACTAATATAAGCTTGAAACTTTAGCAAATACCACCTACTGCTGAATTATAAAAAGCAAAGGTGTATAGAACAACAAAAATTCTCTGGCAAAGTTGTAAGCAAATACACAGTCTATGAAGTTCAATTACTTTCCACTTAAAAAAAAAAATTGGAAAGGCTTAAAAATGCTGGACAACATGAAATCTACATCATACACATAAGAGGACTGCATTTGATTGTCTAAAGGAACAGTTAAAATACATATTTTCAGAAGTATCCATGCAACACATCAACATGCAAACTGCATAAGTGCCTTTATTGCTTCTGAAAGAAATTTATCTCAGTTTTTGATTTTAGTCTTTCTAAATACCTTACTAAGAAGCAGCCAAGGGGCAAATCTGCTCCTTCTCCCAAGTAGACACTGAGTTTATATTTTACATGAAAAAAAATCAATAGCTGTTTTTAAAAGTTATTTGCGAATGTACAAGATGTTCAAGGCCATCCTACTTTTCCTCACCCTCACACCAACCATCTGCTCCCTAATGCTTCCAAATATTGAAAATGCTCCTTTAGTAACTATAATTTCTAACTTCAGTCATGTCTTGTCTTTCCTAGTGTTCCTGGCCAGGGAAGCGTAAAAATTCTTCGGAACAGGATCCTTATTAGACAGGAGGATCTGTCTACCAATCTTTGCTAGACAGGGGGGGAAAAGCTGCACAACCACAAAACCCAAACCCAGAAACAGAGACCTGTGGTGTTAAAGGATGGAGTAACAGAGGCCCACAGAGCAGTATGATCTCCAGACTCTGACCATGATCACGAGCCCAGATCATCCAGCATCTTATCTCATGTCTTAAACTTCATCACAATGACAGAATCAGCAAAGCAACACTATTTTCCACACAGTGATAATTTCATGATGCTCTTATCCTTTGACTGTTACAATTATGAATTAATCTTTACCAACAATAGTGGCAAAAGAAGCAGTTTGTTACTCAAGGAGAGTGAATACGATGTAGCTTAAGTCTTTATTTTGTTTTCTTTTCAATGGACATAACAGGGAGAATAAAATGTCCATTTAGATGCACAAATACATACAAAGATACACTTCTCTCTCTAGAGGCAACAATGATGCGAAGTATTAATTTGGTCTCCAAAATACTGTGAGTCACAAACATGACTGTATCATCTAGGTCTTTCATTCATGGCTCAAGAAATGCAGGTAAATAATCACTGCTCCAGAGCCCCTAGATTTTCCTGAAATCCACTCTTGAGTTATTTGAGGAAAAAGCTAAACAATAATAAATGAACCCAGATGTTTATACCCTCTCTGTAAAGAGCTTTTCAGCATTTTAAAATCAGAAACTGACATTCATGAAAAAGATGTATTTAAGACAAGACCATGTATTGCTCTTAAAACCAAAGAGTTTACTGCTCTCTAGAGTAATTTTTCTTTTATTAGTATTTCTTCTCTCTTTAATTGAATTAAACAACAACAACAAAAAAAGCAACCAAAATTATGAAGACCACCAGCACAGTGAAAAAAAGAAAATGTCTCCCAGGGTTTTCAGTTCTCTTCCCTCAGTGTTCTGGAGTCCAGATGTGGAAAGCCTAGTAGAGCTGAAAACATTTTTGGAGGTTGGAAAGAAAGTTTTGATGCTACTGCTGTAACCTTATTTTATCCAAACCAGACAACTATCTTTCTTCATGAAGATTAAAAAAGCCAAACACCAACACCCACCAAACCACACCTTTTATATATCGTTACTAAACAGTATTTATAACTGAGCCTGCTGGAAAAAAACCCACTCTGCATCTTCTTAGCACTTGGAAGCAAAGAAGGTCTTTACAAGGCCTTCATAACTCAGAGTAGAATATTTACTGTCTTCATCTTCTTTAAAATCCTGTTTGTCAGGTGTGTCAGTTTATTTTTAAGAGATGTATTTTTCCTGCTCACATATCAAGTAAACACATATTGATTTGCTGCAGCCATACCAGGTCACAGGATATGGAGGAATGTTCCCATATCTTACACAGCTACACCTGGAATATGGTGTTCAGCTAAGTGATGACAAGGGTGGTCAGTGAGGTGATGATAAAAGTCTATAAATAGCTTAAGAGGGTGAACTCTGAGGAGGGGGAAGCATTGGTTTAAGGTGGACTGAACAAGCCTGACTGGAAGAAACAGAAAGATGCCCTGACAGCCAGGGCCAGACATAAGCTGCTAAATAGGATCTCATGCACAGTACGATTGCCAGCAGAGCGGTCTGGGCTTGGCCTTGCGTGCACCACAGACATATAATGAATTTACTATCCCAGATTAATTATTCTGGGAAATTTCCAAGCATATTTAAGCACTTCAACTGCTAAATTGGGCCCCAAGTTCAACAGTCCACCAAGAGGAGTCACACGATGGGTGTATTTAGTAGAGCTACACTCAACACAGCACTGGAAACATGTAAAAGGAAATAAATCTACCCAGAGAGGAAGATGGACACAAACCCTGTAAATCTGTCATACCTCTGTTTTCTGTAGTTCTAGGAAAACATGCATATGGGATTTGGGAAAGGTCTTTTTAATAAGGGTTAATTGGAGAAGTATGTCACACATGACTGAGTACCGTTTCAAATTACTGCTCATGCTGGCATAACTAAATTAGACAAATGACAGAATACCAAAATAGGGAATAGTCAATCTTCTTCCCTCCTACTTAATCTTTATATCTTCATTAGTCTCAGATATCAGCAATTACAGGTTTTCTGAAATTTGTTGCTTCTTTCAAAATATTATTATGACCATATCATAATATTCCCCAGAGATCCAATAGTTCTGTAAAATCTTTCTTCTGTTGTCAAATTATCAGTCTAGGCTTTCAAACTGCTGGATTCATTTATCTGGCTTATGAGATGTAAAAGTTAAGGATAAATAATATTGATATAGCCTTTTCTGAGCTTAAAAAAAAAATCTGAAAAGGGAAAAATAATCAGTTAGTAAACCAGATTAGTTATTCCCATGAAAATCATTGTACTGTCTGTAACACTGTGTTACTCTAAAAGTCAGGTCCCTAACCCCAGACCTGAAAAAGTCACTTCAATTTCTCTCTGCTGCCCAAGTTAACTGCAAGCATTTCCTGACGCTGAGAATGCAGGCAGAAAAAGGAAAAACGTCGACTTGAGAAAAGCACAGCTTCCAATCCCCACCCACCAGCTTCAGTCAAAGGGATGACTTCAGTCCCTTTCTTAACTAATCCTGTCACTGTAAAATCCTACAGTCATTCTTCCAACATAAAGGGAAAACGGACTCACTAGGAGGACCTAGACTCTTTCAGCTTGAACTGTTAACCAATGGTGGAAATGCAAGAATGCTGAAGTTGTGCCTTCAGAGCCAATAGAGTGGATTTGTGTGTCCCACATGACTGTGTTTCCCCTGTCTTTCACATGGGCAGTATTTAGTTCAATTCAGAACTGCAGATAGTATAGCGTGCAGAGCAGCAATGGGATGTCTGAGCACAAGTAGCTGACTTCCAGGCGACTTCAGGAAGCACATTTGCACATTTCTCCTGAATTATCTGGGATTCTGCACCCTTGACATTCTCCGACCCTCCCTGTCGCTGCAGAAGGAGACAGCGACCTGCACAGCACAACAAAACTGTGAGTACAGGCTCTATTTATTTTTATTTTCACCCAGAAAAGCAAATCTCTTAAAAATGTCAAAAATGCTATGTGCCCTAAATCAGTGACTGCTTTTCTTAGAAGATGAACAAGTATGTAAAGTGTTATTCAAATTCAGAAATATTTCTTGCATGCTTCAATAAAAGAAAGAGTAAAAAAACAAAAAGCAAAAGCGAGTTATCCTCCAGGGCAGTGCCTGCATGCACGCTGCATGACACACTGCTTCCTGACATAGCCAGCGTGCTGCTTTGTTCATAAAGAAAAACAAAGACAAAAAGCCCTACACACGTATGTTGTTCACTTTTATTTGTACTCTGTGTCTAATCAGGCCTGATCTGTCCCCAAGGGGAAAACATAAAGGCAAACTTTAACTCCGCCAGCAAGGGCAGCCCAGACTTTGCAGACATCTGACAGTTATTATAATTAGCTATGAAAGACAGCGAAGACACTTTGGGGCAAATAGCTCTTACATTTGGAACAATGAAGTCGAGCAAGGTTCCCATCCCACCCCTTCCACGGGGGGAGGGGGAGAGGGAAGGCAACGGGGGGAGTGTTAGGAAAGGGTTATGGCTGGACTGAAAACACACAACTAGTGTATAATATCTGGACTCGCTCAGCGTGAGGAGAGGCTTTTTGATAAGCAACTTTACCTCTAGATTGCAGTTTGCATTCACTCAGATTCCTGATGGGGTGGGAAAGGGTGTGGGTCTCTTTACGGTATAACGTCAGAAGGTCGGGGTGGAGGGGGACGATGGGGGCAGAAAGAAGAGAATATCCATAGCAGGAGACATTGAAATTGTTTCCCAGAGCTTTACTGGCCAGATCTCCTCAAGCCCAAGTTGCTTTCTGGGCAAGATTTATGAGAGTTCTCAAACAGAAGCAACAGACAAAGCAGCGCTTTTTTTCTTCTTCCTCGGAAAAGAAATTCAACCCAAACGAATAACCGTATAATAAACAGCACTGATTTGTATTTTTGCTCTTTTTTTTCCCCCCACATGCTTGTAAGATCTTTAAAAAGGTCTTTCCCCCCTGCCTGCACGATCCTTCCCACCCCCCTTCCCTACCAAAAGTTAGATTCTGAAAACTACGATCAGAAGGGAAAAACCAAAGACAATAGAAATCTGACTCGGTCCTGGCTGGGTTGGATCTCTAATAATGCATGAAGTGAAAACAGTTTCTAAGTGAAAGATAAGCAGACTTCTTTTAAAAAAAAAATAAAAAAATTAAGTGCAATAAGGAGAAATTGTTGAAAGACTCCAGACGCTACTAATTATGGCTTAAATAAATCTTCCTGGACAGATGTTTGCTTGCTCCCACTGCAGGGAAAGGAACGTTAAAAGAAGCATTTTTTAAAAAAGGATTTGACGTGAATCTCCTACATATGTTTTTTTGGGTTTTTTTTTTTTTTTTTAAAAAAAGATTTGACATGAATCTCCTACATATGTTTTTTTTGGTTTTTTTTTTTTTTTTTTGGTAAATACACTGTTTTATTCTTTGTCTGCCCTCCTGTTATCTCCCCCTCCCCCAACCGCCGCCCACTGTGAGCTGAGACACCTGAAGGCTAGACACAATGATCAACAGAGCACTGCGCTCGCCTGTCTGGATTCCAGCCAGATTTTTTTTTTTTCCCCTTCCACAATCAAGGAGCCTGCACGCAATGCACGGCAAGCCCCTTGCTCTGCTATGTGCAGATCAGACAGAAGTCTGAACCGTGCTGCAGAAAAGATTAAAGACAAACACAAGCCTTTCCTCCTTATGTCGGCCAGGCTCAGTTTCAACTTTGTTGTGATTTGCAAAAAAAAAAAAACATTAAAAAATAAGAAACTTTGTAAACATATATGCACATTATTGTACAAAACATATGCACACGCACACACACTTTCCAACACAGTGTAACTAGGGACATCCAGCGTTTCCCGTTTTCCTGTGATTTCTACTCTAGGTTTACAGTCAATGCAGTATTTTTTGTTAAGTTCATGCATCACTTACATAATTGCTGTGTAGCTCTCAAATATACGTAAAGATTCTGTATGCGCATATGATATATTACATAAAGGCAAGTAGCTACTGTACAGATACCCGTTCCTGAATGCCCATCAAGCTGAAACCTTACAAAATATTTGTGCTTAGAGAGATTAGCAAGAGCTCCGAGACAGTTTTATGATAGTTTTAAATGAGGCAGTAGCAAAATGCTTTGTGACTAGGTTGTCTTCAAAGCGAGCAAGGGGAGCATGGCAGGGCACTGCGCTGGCCCTGCAAGCCCTGGCCTTCCTGCTGCCACAGCCCGGAGAAACGCCGAGTGGCCCAGTGCCATCGTGCCACAAAGTTGGGCTTGAGAATGCAGTACTCCCCAAAATAGTTGCTCTCCATTTGGTGTGGCTATGGGTGGGGTTAGCAGAGACATACAGGGGAAAGGCAGATTCAAAGCCTGTAGTCTATTTAATTTTTAAACGTATGCTGTGCAGAGCGACCTATTTTCTAAATTCTTTGGAATTTCATTGTCTTGCAGTACAAATTATAGTGTGATAAACACAATGACTAATATTTGCTTTTCAATGTGAACTTTTAATGAAAAAGACCTAAAAGAAAATATATTTTAAAACACATAACCACATGCACAACATGTACAGTGTTGTTAATTTACTCCCTGAAAATGCTTAAACTATATTTTAATCACTCTAACAGGTATCCTAATGGAAATATAAAAAATTTTTTTGCTTTTTTTTTCTCTAATATTGCTTAGAAACACTATGAGAAAAGGAACCCAGCATAAGTATCCCATAAATTCAATTTTAAAAAAACTTCCTTTCCAAATAGCAGCGGAGACATGCAAACAAAAGATTGCATGTAGTGACAGCAATATCCACTGCAAAGTAAAAATTCCTGAATTGAGATGTCAGAAAAATTAAGTGAATGAATCAAGAGCTCTGGTCAAATTTGTATTTGTATTCCTACCTTTTTTTTTTTTTTAATAAATAAGGGATTTAATACTTTTGTAAAGGAACAATTTACACTGCTTATATGAAATATTCAAGAAAACACTACACAATGGTCATACATGAGGAGAATACATTTGTAAATTATATGTATGTACACATATTCAGTAATATTAAGGTGATAATTTCCTTTCTACTTTTCCTGGCATATTATATTTAAAAAAAAAATTGTCACTTACTTCAAAAAATGTGTTTTGAAATAATGCCTGCAGCTAAATTATGAAGTGCTCACTTTCATTTTCTTAAGGTAATGACAAGGCAGTCATATTTTTATCCTTTCCTAAAGGCTGAAATCCTATGCAAATCAATTTCTCTAAACTTCAGAAGTGATTTACACAGTATCTTGTCTTAGCAGGGTATTTCAACTAGCAATTTATGCAATGTTTGTCAGTGTAAAAGTAATGTCTAATAATACAGGAGATAAGCATTAAGCTGGAGAATATGAACACAGAGTCCTTGCCTCCATGTTTAGTTCAACACTCTCCCCTTCTCCCAGTAAGGTCCCTTGGGTTTTGTGAGTCTTGGGCACAAAAGCTCTGCCTAGAGTAGGGAGGAGATACCTGACCAGTGCTGCTTTAAAAATGGCATTATCCTCTCCTGCTGTTGTCCACATACCTGAAATTTGGAGCTGTGTGTTTTAGTTTTTTACAAGAAGAATTTATTTACCTTGTGTGAAAATCACTGAACTCTGTTTTTTTACTAACTTCTTTAAACTTTTTAATAGTTGATGCTGAAATAATGCAGTCATGGAAGCTCATGCATATTTATGACTCCATTCCTTAAAAATTTGATATCTATTACAGCATGTCTCTTAGCCTGTGGCCTACATTTGGTTGTGCAAATTCCACGGTGCTACTCACACAAGCTTCAAGTTCTGATTTCCTTTTTTAAACTCTCCTCTCCCCTCTTCCCCCCATGCTTCCTGTTGCATTAGCTTGTTTGAGCCTTTCCTAGCTGAACCAGAGGTGTGACTTTTGGTCCTAGGAATAAAGTGCTGAGAATTATGTCCAAAACTTCCAAAAGATTTGTATTTCACTTACATCTTTACAGAGCTGAAGTAACTTGAGAACCTACCAGAAACATAGACAGTTTCAATAAGGTAACAGGGTCAAAGGAGCTCATGCATTACAGATAGGAAGAGAACTGCACATTGCATTTTTATAGATAAAAAGCACAGACTGATTTAATGCATACATATTTCTGTTCGATACTTTAGCAAACTGTTGCAAAGCTCAAACTAGAGCAAAGTCAAAACTACTTTCAGCATGGTACAGTTAGACCAGATGGCCACGTGTTCTTTTCTTATTTAGATGAGACTTTTCCTTTCAATAACATCTTTCTTCCTGACCTGCTTAAAAATTCCAGCGAATGAAATCAGCACAGGATTTTCAATTCTAATTGACCATGTGCAGAGGAAAGGCCAGTAGAGAAATCAGTAGGACCATTGTAAGGCACACTGCATCAATCTCTCCTTTGTCCTGAATCTTTTCTAGTATGAGCTAAAATAATTAAGTATATTTAATTTCTATTATTTGTACAGCAGCAAACCTATTAGCATTCAGGCAAAATTCATAGTGAGTTCCTCTTTTAGAAATGCACGTAACAAGGAAGATGTATGTCTGACACCAGACAAGCAAGTACTTGACATCATTTGATGGCCAAATATTAAAACAAAACAAAACAAAAACCCATAAAACTGGAAACAAACCTACCAAAAGAAACTCAAGGAAAGAATGACCAGAAAGACTGAAAGGTGTGGCTGAATTAAAGCATGAACTGCTTTACTTTTGCTAATGAAGGAAGATTTGAAGGATATGGTACTTAAAGAAATTTTTGAAAAGCACATTTTAGAAGAAAGAAATGTATTTTTCCACTGTCCAAAATATTGACTCTTAAAACATCTGTAATCTTCTAATGCTTCAAATTTACCAACGTAGATTTTACCCACACGCATCCCACCCACACTGCGTTGGTTGTGATCGG